GTTCATCAAACCCTTTCAAAAGCCCAGAGAGACCAGGCTGTCAAGATAGGATTACAGTCAAGTATCCAGGAGCAATGGTACGCTCCCTGGGCCTTGAAGGGAAGCCAAGACAGGGCAGGGGGTAGGTCAGCAAGGCTTCTGGACGGCCCCTGACCTTTCACAGACTTGCCATGTGGCCCAAATAGGTCAGTGATGCATTCTGCACCTCTGTGTCAGGCTGTCCCTTCTCAAGTGGACACAGCATTCCCCAGGCAGGGCTTCAGCACGTCACTGGCATATTAGTATGTGCCTGTTGTGGGATGGGTTTACGTCCAGCCTCATTTTCAGATTAGGGTCTGGAGACCATGGTTGGCAAGGCTGCTTGTGCAACATTCTCAGTGAGGAAAAGGGAGGGGGCAGGATTCAAATCACGTCCATGTGACCCCAAAGCCAGGACTGAGTCATTAGCTCATAAGTTAATTTCAGTGCATTTTTTAAAAAATCCACGCCTACTTTTTTCAAAAGCCACCTCTCCCGTGGGATTTGGGAAGATCCTCTTATTATCCTACTAACGTGGGGCCAGTAGAACCAGACAGCCCCAGGACTCCAAGCTGGTCCCTCGACTTTCTTGATGATGGAATAGACATCCTCCCAGCTCAGCCCAGGAAACAAAAGTACCAACATGTTAGAGGTGTGAAATCCCAACAGACTATAGGGCAGTGACCCCACAATCAACACCCTGATGGGCTACTGGTGGCTGGGGGTGCAGCTGGGTCAGTGCCTCAGTGAGACAGTCCTGCTCACAGCACCATGACTAAATGCGGCCCTGGTAACAGGCTCTTTATATGGGTCACCTCCCAGCAAGCCCTCCATGCTTGCCCTCCACAACCCATTTCCTACAGGGGGAAGCTGAAACCCAGAGATGTAAAGGAATACCCGAGGTCACATCCCCAGCTAGCAAGGCAGACAAGAAATGACCCAGGGCTGGTGAACTGCAGGAGTCATTCTTCAACAGCAGGTGGAATCCTTGCCACTGTTCTGTTAAAGGGTAGCTCCACTTCCAGATGCAGTAACAACAGTGAAGTCGTGAGAAACTACCCATCCTTACCAGTGCTTGCTCCTTGCATCCAAACTGTCCCAAGCGGCAAGCCCAGCAATTGTCACCAACATGCACATCAGCTCCTTAAAGTTCAGAGAGCTCAATGACCTGCCAGAGACCCGAGGGCTCTAAGGCACAGGCTTGGGCACCAGACAAACTTGGGTTCAAACCCCGCCTCTGCCCATTTTCATTTCCTCAACAATTATTCCCTGAGCATTGGAGTGTGTGAGCTCGGGCTGCGGATGGTACCTGAGGCCCTGTTCCTCTGCTATAAACACGTCTCAACATCACTCACCAAGTGTACTTGCTTTCCCAGGTACCCCCATCCCTCACCCCAAAGCTGGAGCACAAGGATGTGATCTGATACTGTTAGTGTGCCCAGTAAAAGTCCGGCTAACAGAGAGAAAAAAGGACAATGGTGCACAGGAACACATGTCCTTCTTCTTGCACTGGACGTTGGAGGGTTGGAACTGGGCAGCCACCTTGTGACCAGAGGCCTCAAGCTTGAGAACCAAGCACCTGCTAGAGCTGGAGGAGCGGGAGCATGGAAGAGCACAGAACCCTGAGAGCATGGTTGAGCCAAGAATTTAACTCAAATCCAGTGACCCTGGAACTATATGTTTCATGTCACGATGCCTCTTCCTCATCTCAGAAGCTGCTTCGCAGTTTCTTTGCTGTTACTTGCAGCCCGAAGTGTCCCTAAGTGGCTACCAGGTAGAACTGCTAGAAGGATCTCAACGAGCTGACAGACCACCACTGATCAGCACTAGGCTCACTCGATGGCAGTCTTCTTGGCACTTCCACCGGGGACCCTTCCAGGGAACGCAGTCACGCCAGGCCTGCTCAATCACTTCTCCCCTCCTCTGCTGAGAAAGGCTGCTGAACCTTCCGAGAAAGCAGAAACCTGCTGGTGGCCCCCACCCCCCATCCTACAACCCTCACGACAGGGATGACCCCATCTTCCAGCAATCAATCATGCTGCCTTTTGCCTAATGGTTTTTGATTTTCGCTCCCCTGGCGGGGAAGCCTGGGGCCCGGGCTCTGGTCTGTCTCAAAGCTGCCAGAACATCCCATCAATTATTCACAGCATCGGCTCAGCCTCCGGGCTGCAGCCATCACAAGGAAAGAGTCTGGGGCAACTCAGCCCACCCAGCTTGGGAGAAAGAGGACGCCATCCCCTACCACGGCAGCAGGCACTAAGCTATATTTTTCCCAATGCAACCTGGCAAAGTGGGCTTTGCATCTCCTTTTTGCAGGTTGGGTGGCTGGGACAAAAAGTGCCTGCAGGCAAGACCTGGGGAGGTGCATTGGGGGTCAAGCCCAGTGTTGGGTTTGCCCTTGCTCCTGCAGGCAATTTGGCCTCTCACTTGGAAATGATCCTCCATGCAAGCCTCCCAACCTACAGCCTAAATTCCCACAGGCCTTGCCTTGTGTTTGAGCCAGGTAACGGAACCGAGCTGAAAGGATGAGGCCGGCACAGTGCAAACGACTGGGGCAGGCCAGCAGCACTGGGTTCTGGGTTCCAAGTGGGCAGGGAGGAAGGAGTGACAGGTCCTCCAGCCCCGAGACACAGACACAGGGCTCCCTGTACTCATTGTCACCATAAGCAAGCACAGAGTTCCTCTGTGCCAAGCATCACTGTGGGTGTTGGGATCTGGTGGGTGTGAACCAGACAGACACCAGGAAGCCAATGGCGCTGAAAGTCCACGCAAGAAAGACACCATGGAATGTGGCCAAGAGAAAGGCCAGTAGGCCATCCAAGACGAGGGTCAGAGGAGAGCTCCGAGGAGGGGAAATATCAGTGGAGACCCATTCAGATGACGAACGGCGAGAAGGGGCTGGCCATGGGACAAGCTGGGGAGACAGCCCAGCAGGCAGTGGGGTTAGAAGGTGTCAAGGTCCTGGGGTGGGACGCCCCTGGCCAGTTTAGGGAATCGTGAAAGGCTGGCGGGCAGAACTGAGGGAACCAAAGAGGGGAAGAGGAGAGCTCAGAATCTGCGGAGGTTGGACTTCACAGGCCCCAGGCATGGCACAGCCACCGTGTCTGCATCTCTTCTGATTCATGTGATCCGATTTATATCTCGGAGAGCTTGCTATGGCTGCTGTGTAAGGACTAGATGGCAGGGGCCAAAAGCAAAAGGCAATGAGGAGGAGCCTGTGGCACTTGTACATACAAGGGAGTCTGACACCACATTTGTATACCACCGTGTGACCTGCAGAGAGACGTCTGACCTCTCTGAGCCACCCCCTTTGCGAGAGATGTGGTCACGACAGAGAGGCGGTGCAGGGCGGCCATCAGGGCCAGCCAGGATTGCATCACGGAGGTCTAAAGAGTTGCCTGCTCCCCCATTCAGCTCTGGCTGTAAAGATCCTGGACAGACCATCTGCCGGGAATGTGAGCTGACAGCCCTGGTCTAGGATCACAGAGAGGTCACAAAGCTCGTCCCTGTCCCTGGGAGCGGATTAACCCAGGGGAACAGGGAGCCTGTTTATTTCCAAACAACAGACTCCCAGCACAACCCAACCCTGCCTGTCTCCCCCTCATCCACATGCGAAGGCAAACCCCCTCCCACTCCAGCCCCTCCATCTCACAGCTTCCGGACAGTTCTGGGAGGAGATGGAAAGTCACGTTGGGTCCTGAGTGAGGCGTGGAGCGGGGGAAACCCGTGTCAGACCTGGAAATAGCAAACTAAGTTGGCTGATCCTAAGCCGGTTAAGGGTGAGCGAAGCGGTCTTAAAGAGCTGAACCTGGGGTGCTACAGGCAAGGAGGAAGCCACGCCCAGGAAGCTCCACATCCTCTTTAGAGGGGAGGGGGCCATAGGAGTGCTTCCTCCACCTCTCCCTGGCCACCCCCTCCTGCCACCTTGTGAGGCCTCTCCCTGGGCAGCCAGAAGCTGGAAAAGGACCTGGCTGAGACCGTGTACCTCCTCTGGAGGGGCTCACGGAGTCACAAGACCCCACCAAGGAGCCAGGCTGGCCCCAAGCTGGCCTGGCTTACTCATTAGGGCACACTTCCTCGCTGCCTTGTCCTGCCGGGAAATACCCACTCCGTCCCCGCTTCAGCAAGCAGGCAGTTCCATTCTCCAACCGGGTCTGACAGGATCTCCACAGCAAGACTTTTCTTCCCTGGCCTCCCCTTGGACCTCGCCTGGGCTCTCTGAGAGCCCCGGACACACTGTGTTACCCTTGGCAGTGGAGTAGCCAGCAGCATGCGGCCATGGGGAGACAGCCCCCGCCCACCTCCCTAGGCATCCCAGCCTGACTCAGAACGACGACTTATCCACCAGCGGCCTCCTGGCCTGCAGTGACCCTCACCCAAGGTTCCCTCAATCTCTCCAAGCCTCTGCCAGCTCCCAGCAGCCCACTCCGGATGCTGGGCTGCCTTCCTCCTCCTCCTCTTGCTCTTCACTCCTTTTGTGAAATTCACATTGTCTTCCAACAGAAAAAGCCACTTTACAAACTGCAGCAAATCATTCTGGGAATAAACTCCAACAAATATCAGTCAAGACACGGGTGGCCCCAGGTCACAAGCAACCACAGGGACAGCACACGACAGGCATGGCCACAACCACCCAACAGAGTCCTTCTACCTTAAAACCACCTAACGGCATCTCAACACCCAACAAGTATGTGCAGCCTGGAAGGCGGGCTTCACCGGGAGCCCTTTGTGACTCCATCTTGTAACGCTCCACGGTCTGTCTGTCTGCGCTCTCCCTTAGCAGCCACCACGGCAGCTCTTTAAAAGTGTAAGTGCACCCCATTCTCCAGCAAAGCAGGAGTGTAAAACTGTGTGAGAAAAGGAGGGTGCAGTGCCACCCCGGGACTCACCTCTGGGGTCGCAGCCTGGTCTTCATCTTCAGGAACTAAGCTGGAGCCCCCCCCCCCACCACCGCCCACAGGAACCCAGCACCCCAAGCTCACCTTGGCGGCAACGGAGGAGTTGGGCTTTTCCAGCAGGTCCCACAGCTTCTTGCGCTTCTCCGCGCAGCACGTGTTATCGAACTCCTCGCCCTCGCGCTCACGGAGTGTCTCGGCCTCGCGCTTGAGCTCCTCGTTCATCTGCTCCTTCTTCTGGTGGTAGCGCGCCTGGCAGCACGACTCCAGGTATATCTCGTCGATGCCCCAATAGTCCAGTTCCTGGCTAAAGCTGAGCGCACACATCTCCTCCATCATGTGCAGCCGCCCCGTGCGGTAGAAATTGAGGATGGAGGTGAAGGCGCCAGGATGGCGGTCGAAGAAGTACTCGTTGTCGTCCAAGCTGTAGTCGTCGCACACCTCGAGCAGTGAGTCGTGCGTGTTGCAGTCACGCAGCTTGCCCAGCCGCGTGCGGGGCAGGCGGTCCAGGGTGCGCCAGAGGACTTCGTGCGCCAGGCCTCCGACGTTGAGGCGCACACGTCGCGAGCACGCCTTGCTGCGCACGATCTCCATGGGCTCGGGCGGCAGCGAGCTGGCCGAGCGAGAGCCATGCTTCGTCATGCCCGCCGGCATCGCTGGTCAGGCCGCACCCGCCCCCCCCGCCCCCCCAGGCCGCTGTCACTCGACCGCAAGGCCCCGCAGCTGCTGCGGGCGAGGGGGGCAGGGAGCGCTGTGGGCTGCTGGGGTGCAGCGGAGGAGCAGGTGCGGGTCACGGCCGTCTTCTCACCTCCATCCCGACGGCTGCGAGGCAGAAAACGAAAGCGGACGCAGGGTCAGCCAGTGCAGAGTTGGGTATAGCCCCTCCCCGCCTTTTCCACCGAGGTTCCCGCCCCCCCAGGACGGTGCTGGCCCTGACCTTCGAGGCGCTTAAGCAGCTCAGAGGGTGGGGAGGATGCCGGGCGCTGTCCCTTCCGCCGGTGCTGAACCCCGCCCCACTCGGTGCACGCGGGGAGGGGCGAGCCTCAGGGGGTGCCCCTGGAGCAGGGGAGGCCCCACCCCAGTTTCCGCAGCCCCAGCGCGACCTAGCCACCCGGGGCGCTGTCCGCCCCGTCGAGTGCTGAAACTCGCTCTTCTGTGGGTCTCCCCGGCGGGCGTGTCCCGACCCACACTGGGTAGAGAGGGGCACAGCATAAAAACTTCCCTTTTTAAAAGAAGTTCTCATTTCCATTCCCCTCACCACACACACACACACACACACACACACACACACACACACACATTCAAGATCAACACAATGGGGGGAGGGGGATATAGGGAGATGACAGTGAGTTTGCTGTTTCCAAATCGTAAAAAGGATTTGGGGGTGGGGGTCCTGGGAGTGCGCCTGTCAGATGTCATCACGGAAGGGGCGTTCACAACAACCTCTCTATCCTGGAGCGACCTCTCGCCCCCAAACCACCGGAGCCTCTCCCCCGAGCTGGCTCTGGAGAGGAGGTGAGCGGTGCGGACGCAAAGCCAAGCTCCGGCCAGGGTCCCGCCCCTCCCCCTGCGCCCCCTACCCTACTGCAGGAACCGCCTGCTCCGTCCTCCTCAGGCTCCTTCCCCGCCCCCTTCTCCTCCTCCTCCTCCTCCTCGCTCCTCTCTGGCGATGGCTTTTTATAACTCCGGGTTCTGCGCCTTTCCCCGAGCTTGGAATGGAAGGGGTGGGGGAGGTGGGAGGCGGGGAAATGAGCTCAATTTTCTGGCCTTTTCAAAACGCGCCCTCCTCCCCTAGGACACTGGTGGTTCTGGGGGGGTTCCCCCGAGCCCTCAGCATGTGGAGAACGCGCCCTCGCCCCAGAATGCGGACCGCGCGCCTCTCCAGGCCCTAGTCCTTGCTCGCCAGCCGACCCCCGTTCCCCCCCACCCCCCGACTCCAGCATGGAACCGCCGAGCCCGGGCAAACCAACAGGCCGAGCCGCGGCAGGAGAGACCCCACCCGAGGCCCCCCTGCGCCCCCGCGGCGAGCCACCTCGCCAGTACTCACCCCCAGGGCGGCCGCCTCCTGGGGCCAGGGTCCGTGCATCGTCCCGGCCGCCCGGGCGCCCCCGCCCGCGGGCAGCGGCGGTCCCGGGGCCGGGCAGGGCCGGGCCTACCCCGGCCGGGCAGGCGATGCGTCCGGGCTACAGGCGCCGCGGGGCAGGGGTGCGCTCTCCTTGGCTGGGGGCGCGGGGGGCGCACGGGGCAGGACCGCGAGCGGGAGGCGCCTCCTCCTCTGGCCCTCGCGGCGGCGGCGGCTGCCTGGACGAGATCAACAAGTCGGGGCTGAGCTCCGGCTAGGATCGCTGCAATTCTGTCCCGCACTTCGGAGCGCCTGGAGTGGGGCACCGAGGCGGGACGGCGCCACCTGCGGGTCGGAAGCGCGCACGCCGCTTAACTCCTGCCTATCCGGCCCGGCTGCAGGAGACACCAGGGCGCGCCGGCTGCTGGCGCGCACAGGGAGAAGCGCGATCCCGCCGTCAGCACCCAGGGCTGCAGCCGCAACCCGGCCGCGATCCCGTCGCCTCCGCCCTGTGCACTGAGTGCGCTGAGCTCCTACTGTGTGCTAGGCACCACGCAGGCGTCTCACCCCCAAACACCCCTGTGAACTGCCCGTATAAATGCAAGACCGGGACACGCGCTGGGGAAATGCTGAAGCCGCAAAGAGGGCGAGGGCAGATGGTAGCTTTAAACCGCCAGTGTTTTCGTGGGCTGGAATGTAAACCCTGACCCCAGGATGGATCTCTGGGTTCCTGAGTGGGGGGCTTGAATGGGCCATGACTGTGCGTGGCAGTGGGAAGCCGGGCTTACTCAGCCCCGTGGCCGATCCATTCATTCGTGGCAGGTGGAAACGTGGGTGATGGAGGGTTTCCTATGCACCAGGCCAGTGGAAGGCTCAGACAAGGCTTCGTCTTCCCCTGGAGCACCTTGTCCCTAAAGGAGACAGAACTCAGGGAATAATCCCAGGAGTCGTTACAGAGTCAGTCATTAAGGGACCAGCACTTAGCCAGCCATTAAGATGCCCCCATCAGAATGCTGTATCCTGTTCTGGCTCCACTCCCAATTCCAGCGCCCTGCTAATGGGCACCTTGCAAGGCATCAGGTTGATGGACCAAGTGTTTGGGTCACTGCCATGTGGAGACCTTGATGGAATTCCTGGCTCCCGGCTATGCCTTGGCTTTGCAGGCCACGTGGGGAAGTAAACCAGTTGATGGAAGTTAGCGTGCTCCTATCCTCTCTCTTTCAAATAAAATGGAAACATAATTTTTTTAAAAAGGAGAAAAAAAAAAACAAATGGGAGTATTCCCCTGGAGAAGTGGGCAAGCCTTGCACAAGCACGCCACAGTAGGGCCACCTACTTCCTTACTGCATGTTGAGTCGACAGGTGCTGGGTCAAGACATAGAACCCGCCTTCCCACACCATGGGACTTTTCTCTGGCTTCTTTTCTCCATTTCTAAAATTGAAGGATTCAGTTCCAACCATTTGTGCATATTATTACAATTCTTAAAAGATTATGTATTAGAGAGAGGGACGCTGCTTTTCCATTTGCTGGTTCCCTCTTGAAATGGTCACAAGAGCCAGGAACTCCACTCAGGCCTCTCAAGTGAGTGTCAAGGATTCAAGTGCATGAATCCCCGGCACATTAGCAGGGAGCTGGATCGGAAACAGAGCAACTGGGACTGCAACCAGCATTCCAACACGGGATGCCAGTATCCCAGGCAGTGGCTCAAAGTGCTGCACCACAACTCCAGCCCCTGTCCTAAGTTGTTACTCTGCTTCTCATCACTTCCATCACCATCCTTATCCCAAAAAAGAACCCATAGACTTGTATCTCTGCTGCCTTCAATTTGGTCTCACTGTTCTGGTCTTTGCCTGGTATAGCTCAAATCCCCAGGGCTGCCAGAGTCATTGCCACATAGAGGGGTTCATGTCTTGTGTCTGCTGAAACGTTCCCCAGCATAACCCCAAATTTGTAGATCCATGGGAGGTGACAGACATCTAATACTGCAAGGGTTTTTTTTTTTTAGAGATTGAGAAAAGTTTAACCCAAATGAACGGTGGGACAGCATGGAGAGAAGCTGATAGTGAGGCTACAGGGCAGTCAGGGAGGGGCTCTGAGGGGAGAGGGTCCCAGGCAGAGGGAGCAGCAAGGCACACGCCATCGGGAGAAGAGGATGAGCTGTGTTTAAAGGACAGCAAGTGGAGTGCGTGGCGCAGAGGAAACCAGAAGGACTGGGATGGGAGGGCAGGGTAGTGCGGGCTGAGCACTCTGCGTTTACCTCTCAGTGAGGGCAGTGTTCCAGGCAGCAGCTGCCTTGGGTTAGATTCCCATCACCCTGGGGAGGCCCACAGGGGAGACTGATAACATTTTCCAGGTGACAACTGATGACAGCTGGGCTCAGGGTGGAGGGCGACAGGTGGGAGGATGTGGTCAGGCTTTAGACATGTTTCGAAGGTAGCATGGTCAGGACTTCTGGTGGCTTGGCTGGGGGCAGTCCTGCAGAATCCAGCCTTCCGGGTGTAACCCAGAAAATTCCCAAAAGAGGTTTCCTTCTCTGTGCTGTGCAGAGGAGTGGGGCACAGGTGCTGCTGTGAATCTGCTACAAACAGCCTTTGAGGTTTCCAGCAGGTGAGGGCATTGACAGATGGGGAAACCTAAATTCTGAGACCTGGAGGCTTGTCTCCTGTCTTGCTGGAAAGTGATTGGCACAACCAGAATCAGAGTCTCTCAGTCTGTCCTCCATATCCTAGGTTGTAGAGTGCCAGAGCAGCCTCCGCAGCACTTCTCAGCAGTTGTGGGCTAAGGAGTTGATTAGCGCTCCTTGGGATGGGCAGGAACAGGAACTGGGCTTGTAGCTAAAAACGCCTAGACTAACCGGACTCTTCTGTGTCCAACTTCCTGGCTAAGTTAAAACTTGGAGGGGAAGAGTATATAAGGAGAGGTGAAGGAGCAATAAAGGGAGATTTCACAGACTTCTACCATCACTGGTCTCCTGTCAGTGCTTCATTGGTTGGTATGTGGGCCCTTCCACATGCTAACTACACACCTATGTCCCTGCACACATGGCAATTCTGGGGCTTGAGTGCGGACAGCTAATACAGCCCCATCCTCACGGAGCTCCACGCCTCTTCTATGGCCACTGACAGAACAGGACAAAGTAATAACTGTGTCTTCTATGTTGTCTTATTCACTTTTTTGCTCATTTTTATTCTCCTCTGCCTCCTAATATCCTTTCTATCCCAAAGTCTACAACTGTCCTATATTGTTGTGTATTGAATGAATCCTTGAAAAACACAGTTAATGTTTGGTTTTGCAAATAATGATCAAATCTTTGAAAATATTATTTATTCTTATTTATATGAAAGGCTGAGAGAGAAAGAAAAAGAGAGAGACTTCCCGTTCTGAAATTCACTCCCTAAAGACCCACAACAGCCCGGTCTGGGCCAGGCTGAAGCCAAGAGCCCAGAACTCAACCAGGATGTCCCGTGTGTGGCAGGGACTTGAGCTGTTCCCTGCTGCCTCCGGGGTGGAGAACCATGCTGGAACCAGGTGTGGAACCAGCACTTGAACTCAGACACAGGTGTCCCAAGCGACGACATTACTGCTATGCCCAACTCCCACCCCTGGGCATGTGTTTAAACCTGCATATGTGGTTTATGTTAGAGATCTCATTCTGTTTATCTAAGATCTGTCTTGTTGCTGTGGATACACCAGTTTGCTGCTCTTAAGAGCTGCATGGTGTCCATGAATAATGTGTGTCTCCTCTTCACCATCCCCCCCCCCCCACACGC